TGTTTGCAAACATTTCATGTAATTTATCAAGCACTGCTTTCCCTAGGTTAATCAGATGGGGGAGGAATGATCATATAAATGTAGCATTAAACTGGATTGGGGCTGGGTTTTTGTTCTTGTTTTAACTAAGAGCCTTGGGAGTCTTGCTATCCTCAATGGAGTTTTTGTTCTGCCCTTGAGGGGTTCCTGATCCAGTTGCCCTTGCTCGGTCCCAATGGAACTTCAAAATCTGTTCAGATTCTTGAAGTGGGAGCTAACTTTTTGTTTCTACCAAACCCTTTCTTCATGGGATGCCTTTGTTTTCTAGACACTGTGGGACCAGGGAAGACATCATTCTGTTGTCGTCTTCTTAGTCATTGTTCTCTTTCTTATTTTTCTTCTTTTTCCTCTAGATTCAGTTATTTTTCTCATGTGCATGAGCATTTTACCATCATGAATGTCCATGTACCACACCTGTGCTTCTGCCCACAGAGGCCAAAGGAAAGCATTCCCTGGAACTGAGGTTACAGATGCTTGATAGCCACTGTGTAGGTGCTGAGAATCGAACCCAAGTCCTCTCTTAACTGTGGAGCCAGCCATCTAGGCATCCTCCTCATCCTGCTTTCTTCTTCAATGTATTCTTAGGCCGAGACCTCAGCAGTCCTCACACAGAAGAAACTAGCTGTTCAAGGTCCCTGGTGATCTCATTTGCCATTCTATCACCACGTGGTAAAAAGCTTTGATTGTCTCCTCTATCATACATAGGTCCTCCTGGGCAAACAATCACTAACTGGTACTCCAAACTGGCCAATATTTTATATAAGGGATGGGGAGTGGGCAGCTAGAAACCTCACCTTCTGTTGTGACAGGAATTTACTGGTCCACACCTGCTCACAGTCCCCTAGAAGAGGAAATCTCGATATTTGAAAACCAAAACTTATCTCAAACCATTTTCACTAATATGTGTTTTAAAATCTTCTATTGACCTTTCTTGAAAAATTCTGCAGCGTATCACTAATCTACAGCTCTGACTGTCAAAATATGGCATTTTAACAACACAGAATAGAATGGAATATATCAGAGGGTATCAAAATTATAAAGATATGAGGAGACTTTTGCTCTCTCTCTCTCTCTCTCTCTCTCTCTCTCTCTCTCTCTCTCTCTCTCTGTGTGTGTGTGTTCTGGTTCACAATGCAAATTCTCTTCCTATAGGTCACAATCCCTGAAGTTTAAAGGTGCTGGACTAGAAGTTCCAAGAAAGAAAAGTACACACCACTACAAACAAATCTATGGATTGAGTAAGAGCAACTGTTTGGTGGTGAGTGGGAAGATTCATGGGAAACTGCTCTTCTGTCTCCAGAGATTAAGAGGGCACCTCTGGGAGGGGTGGACTATGAATGCCCCAAAAGAAACTCTTGTGAGGCTTCACTCCTACGGTGGGGGCGGGGGAGGTGAGAAGTGACTGGCAGAAGCCGTGGAAACTCTGAAAGCAGATTTTGGCAGTGCTTGAGCTGCATCGAAAGTGGAAAATGAACCATTTTGACCTTAAACTAGCAGAAAAACCAGGTAATGGTCAGCTAGCACGGGGCTCCACAAACTTCTTTTGCTAACCTATGGTAGATGCTTCTGGGTCACCAAAAGACTTGATTTTAGCTACAGCCTTAAGACACTGTACCTGGAACAAAGACCGTTTTCTTATTTACCTTCTATTCTCTAGCACCAAATGCTATTGAGCGACCAGCCTGTCCAGGACACATGCATGACAGGAAGAATTAGGCCTTGTAGGCAGGACAGCCTATCTTCAGGGCCATGGGCTGCGCAGGATTGGACCTGCAGCTCTCTTTACATCTAGACCGAGACAGATAAGGCTTTTTGCACAGACCCCTGGGAGGGTCATAGACCCATCATCGTAGCCAGTAGCTGGCATATCATGTGTGGGTGTTCATGAGCTCAGAGCCGCTTTTATTCCCAGAGAACACGCTGAGCCTGGAGTCTAGAGGAAGACTGAGAATGAGTACCCAGATGGTTTCCAGTCCGAAGGCTCCATCCCACTCCAGGGTTACTCACCTCCAGTCTGTTCTGACCCACAGCATTCAGCATTCCCAGGGGCAGGGAGTGCAGCACACTAGCTTTGTCACCCACCCGGAGGTCTCACTATGTATCAACCCAGCAGTTCTGACCTTTATTCTATTCCAGGATTGGCTCCTGGCCCACTGGCTGGCCTTGGACCTAAAGGCATGAAATCTGCTCTGTGGTCTCTCTGGGTCCTTGGCCAGAAGTCTGGTGTGACAGGCTTTAGACACACCTGATCAACCATGCATATCTACTGGAACATTTGGAAAGGCTTCAGCTCAATCGTACCTAGGTATACAAGTTTTTGTCTCTTAGCTCTTAGCCTGGCTGTTGGATTAGTTCCCACTCTCCACTCCCACCCCTATCCCCCATCCCCATCCTCTGACCTGGCTCATCAGCTTTTGCTTGCTCCCTCTGCACCTTGGACTAGGTGCTCTCCTCTGGGCTCCTACACAGCCCTGCAAGTGTCTCTCCAACACCACTTAGTCCTCGATTGGGAGTAGGTCCCTGTTCTGAGCCTGGTGCTCAGTGGGTGCTTTGTCAGTTCCTCCCGAGTGATCTCTCAGAACTTGGATTTGCTGCTCAGCCATCCTGTTTTAAAAAGACTATTCACCATCAGCTAAGCCACAGCTTTAGTTCAGGGTTCAAAGAACAGGGGAGGCAGCCTAAATGAGGTAATCCATCCTGAGTCACTACCTGAGTGCTCCAAAGTCACAGTTGAAGACTCCCAGGGACATAACAATTAAACTATGTGAGTCCCGTTTCTGGGGAGGCAAGAGAAGGATTTCTGCATGGAAACAGAATAGCTACAACTCCACTCTTGTGGAATGCCCTCTGCCACCTTCCCCAAGGCCTGTGTTAAAAAAAAATGAGAGTAAAAAGGCCGTGTCATGGCAAGATGAAGTCAAGGTGGACTTCTGACCGTCAAGGCCTCTCCCCAACCACTTCCTGCTGCCAGTGAAGGACATGTTCAATGTTCAATGGCATCTCTTGTGTTCTCCATGTCCTGGGCCTCCTGAAGGCCACCTGGGCTTGGAGAGCAGCAGATGGAAGTAAGGGTGTAAGGAGTACACGGCTCTCACCAAAGGGTTGGTGGCTGGGAGTCCAACAGGAGCCTGCCCTAGGCAGTATCTCAGTCTGGCCTGCAGGACACAGAGCTAGGAGGTCCCCTGAGGTCTGGGTGAGGAGCAACTTGAAATGGTAAGGCAGGCCTGGGCTTGCAAAGTTACCTACAAGTCCTCAAGGCCCATTTACAAAAGCATGTCCTCAGAAATGACCCTGAGGGGGATGTGGGGGTACAGGGGCCCCATCTCAGGGAAGAGAGAGAGGAAGACAGGGGGGGGAGGGAGAGAGCGAGAGCATTGAGACTTAGAATAAGAGGCTACTTCACTCCCACTAGTGTGACTGTCATCTAAAAGACACGCAATGACAAGCGTTGGCAAAAACCAGAATGAAACAAAAGCTGTTTCTAAAGTCAGGCCTTCCCTACCTAGGGAGGGAGGCAGAAACAGCCAGATTGCCCAGTCTCACAGCCCAGCCTGCCTACCCAGCAGGCTCCAGGTCAACAAGACCCCCATCTCAAACAATAATAAAAACCAAAACAACAACCACAATCTCCCAGACCAAACATCAGAGCAAAGTAAAAGGAGACCAACAGCTGAAGAGCGACACCTAATGTTGTCCTCTGTCCTCCACAGGCACGTGCTTAAGTACACACACACACACACACACACACACACACACACGAATGTGGAGACACATCTCTCCTAAAGAGTTAACTTAATGACCTGGCAGGCCCACTGGAGGTGTAGCTGAGAGAAATCAACCCGTTTACACAGACATGTATAATAACATTCTAGCCACTTTATTCGTAACAGCCCAAAGTGGGACCGTAGATAACCATCGATTGATGAATATAGCTAAACAAAACGCTTCATATACATACAGTGAGAGATGAGTCTGTCGCAGGCGCTGCTACACTGGACCACATACATACAGCCTGAAAACACCATGGAAGAAGCCAGTCACAGGGACCACATGTTGTATGACTCCATTTATAGAAAATGTTCTGAATAGGCAAATCCGCCGAGGCCGAAAAGCAGATTAGAAGTTTCCAGAGGCTGGGAGGAGGGAAGAATGAGGAAAGACTACCCACAAAGGTTTTTTTTTTATTTATTTAGTGGCCAAAATGTTCTGGAATTAGATAATAACTGTGGTTGCACAACTTTGTGAATATACCAAAACCCCACTGAAATGCGTACATTCAGCGTTATAGGATCCAATCTCAAGTCTTGTGAAAGGGATGGCCAGGGTGGGGGAATGATTCCTATGGAGTGGAACAGCTAAATGGTGTGCGACTGCCGCCTCCCATCCAGGTCACTAGCAAATTCGCATGACCTTTGAGGCCTAAAACTTCGCACCTAGCAGACCCTCAGAACCCTGGGGTTCTGGGGACGCTGTTGACAGGAGTCGTCTAGGCCTGGGGAAGCGTCCTCAGGTCTCAAATTGGCGGCGACTACGGAGAATTAAAGATTGGAGCTCCGAATCTTTTAAAACCTCCCGGGGCGAATTCTCATTAGGTGTTCCAAGTTCGGCGGCGGTTCCGGGCTGCGGATCGGTGCGGTGAGTGCGTGGGGCCTTGGGACACTGCCGGATGCCAGCTGCCCCAGCGTCCGCAGTGGTGCCGGTTTTGGTGGGTCGCCGCGGCAAACTGGAAGGCGCTCGAGGCGCGGGGTGCGCGGTCGCTTTAAGGCGGCGGCGGGGCGGGGACGGCGGCGGCGGCGGCCGGGCTGGCTGGCGTGGAGCCGTCAGTCGGCAGCGCGGGGCCCGGCGGGTGCGGGCGCGGCGCTGCTCCCTCCTCCCGGTACGAGCGAGGAGGCGGCGGCCGAGGGCCGGAGCTCAGCCCGAACCAGAGCGCGCGGTGAGCGGCAGGGCAGCCCAGCGGGGAGGAGGGCGGCGGGCGCTTTGTTCCGGGGCTGGAGGTGTGGCCGGCGGTGTGGCCCGCTCCGCGCTCCTTCGCCCTGCTGCGCTGCACCCCGGCGCCCGACTCCGGTTGTGCGTGGCCTCTGCTCTCACCAGCCACCCCATCGTAACGGTGTGCTGTGAAGTCGCTCGCCACCCGACCTCAGTGGGGAGGGCCTGGCCACCGCTCAAACAGACTCCTTCGACTGTAGTCACCCCGGGGTTCCTCGGCTGCCCGGGTAAGGACTCAGCGGGGAGGTGGGCGGCGGGGCGGCGGGGCTCTCCTGGCTAAAAATGGCGTTAACTGGGTTAGGGATCTGCGGAGGGGTGGCACACTCATGTAGATAATGAAAGGCAGCTTGCTTCATAAACAACTCTTTACTGTACCCCGAATTCGGGTTGCTGGGGCTCTGGTCACAACTGGGGCCTGCGCTCACACACTTAAGTGACATGGGCCCGGTGTCCCACCATGTGTCAGGCTCAGTGCCAACTCCTGTCCCACCCGGAGGGCAGGAGCACAAACTGAGCGACAGCCCAGTGTGGTCAGTGGGAGAACTCAAGAGACCCTACTCAAGGGTAGGAGGTCCGGGAAGACTCTGTAGAAGAGCAGATATGAACCTCTGCGTGGGCTCTTGACATCCAGTTAGACTCCCCCCCTCCCCCCCGAACTGAGCTGGCCTGGGGCTTGGGGGCAAATTGCAGTCTGGAGAGGGGACAAAGACAGTTTCACCTGAGCGCTGGGACAGCTCCTGGTGGTGGGGAACCTCCTTGGGCTTGTTACAATGGCTTTTGCTCCTCTGGACCATATTAGAGAGCAGACTGATGGGGCTCAGGACTGTGACCTCTAGAGGTATGCCTGGACTGGGTGGGGGTGGGGGCTTTTGTAAGTAGAGAACACTTAAAAGCAAAGCTTACATAGACTGAGCACTTGATAGGGGTTTGCCCATCGTCAGTCAGGGCGCCGGCAGAAAGATGTTATAATGGTGGTCTCCAGAAAGGGGGGGAAATGGACAGACACCCTACCCAGGACAGTGTCGCAACCTGTACTTTTGACCCCGTGTCTGTTCTGGCCTGTTGTGAGTGGGGCTCTCTAGTGCCTGGTTTTAAGGCTAGTGCAGCCGCTGTTGTGCATTTATAGTGCAGCGGTCCCGCATCCTGCAGTGGTGGGCTGAAATGTGAGGTGGCGGCTACAGATATTAATAACCGACACATGTCAGGGCTTAGCTAAGAACAAAGCGCTTTCACTGAAGCAGCTCTTAGAGTTTCTCCTGCCCCCTTTCCCAGAGAAGAAATTTGAGCTGCTAACATTCCGTAAATCTTCTAATTTCCTGTAAATTGCATGTCCCTGCCGACTGGGGCTGAAAATGTTTCAGGCGGGCCATGGTGTTTACTCATGGGTCTGCCTCACACTACCCAGCGGGCAGTTAGCATCTCTGTCTGTGGTTTATGGCATGGTTGGGCCTTTCTCTGCCAGGGTGGGGGGGGGGGTGTGGGCTCTGTGGCTGTGGGGTTTCAAGGTCAGAGTCTTCGGTAGTGGGAGGTTAAGCAAGCCCCATGCTCTGATGGAAGCTGTCACCCCCAGATGTGACCTTGGTTTTTCCTTATGAAGCAGAAAGGCCCTCTGGGAAGGCAGGTGACTGACTGACTACCTTCCAGAGCTGTCAGCCTTGCTTCTGCATGAAGCAGTGTCCATTGGTTGTACTGGAACTCACTGTGTAGACCAGGCTGGCTGGAACTCACTGAGACCTACCTACCTTTGCCTCCTAAGTGCTGGGATTAAAGTCACACACCAGTACACTTGGTTGCACTTATAAGATTTGTGTGTGTGTGCGCGCGCACGCGTGTGCACGTGACAAATGTAATTTTTACTAGTTTCAGTCACAGATATTTTACACTGTTTTATAAAGTGACAGGTCCACACCCTCCCCCAGGTTGGTCCTTGATTTCCAGTGAGCCTCAGGAATTACAGAGGACTCTAATGAATTGAGCCCTTTGAGTGACTGGTCCTGACATCATGTGTTTACCAGTCTCTTGGGTCTACTGAATTTACAGGACATTGTCATCTCTATGCTATATTTGACACACGTTGTTGTCGTTGAAATCTTGTCTACCGATGAAAAACCCCCAAACAGTGTGCCACCCTGGAAGTAACCTGAAAAGTCACTGCTCCCAAGTATTATGTTGTTTGTACAAATAGTACTAAGTGGGAACTGGTCCTTGTGCAATGCTGGAATGTGCTCTAGTGTCTGTCTACAGGGTATGAGTGCAGGCATGATCCAGCTATGGGGTATCATCACCTTTTTATGGAGATCAGAAAATCAAAGGAGCTGGATGTGAGCTCCTTGCAATTTGGAACACCTAGTAGGTGCTCTTATGCAGTTGCTGAGCAGAGCATTTTGTTGATAAGACTCTGAAGTTTTATATGATGCCTCTGGGCCCTATGGTCCAAACCCATAGGGATGCATTGGGTTGCAAGCAACAAAACTCAAATAACAATAGGCTAGACAAGGCTCAGTTCTCCCAAAGACACCCTTGGTTCCTGTGAGATCTACTTCCAGCAAGTTATTGTGTGGGGCAGGTAGCCTAGGAAGCTGAGGCTCTGGAGTTTAGAGTCATAACTTGCATGATCTTGAGACACCACTTTTTAAAATATGTGTATGAGAAATCAGAGAACGTTGGTGTGCAGAGTTGAGCCCGTGTGTTGGTTATTTCACTTGTCACTGTGACAAAATGTCTTACAAAAGCAACTTACAGAAGGAAGGGTTCATTTTGACTCGCAGTTTGAGAATACAGCGCCTCCTGACAGAGAATGCTGATGAGAATGCTTGGTCACACTGCATCCATAGTCAGAGAGTGGAGAGATGAATGCTGGCCTTCCTCTTGCTTCCTCCTTTTTTATTTAGTCCATTGAATGGCATCGGCTGCATTCAGGGAGGTATACCCTTCTGCATTAAACATGTCCTGAAACACCCTCACAGACATGCCCAGAGGTTAGTCTCTCAGGTGGTTCTAAATCTCATCATGTTAACAAGATTAGCAGTCATAGCATATGATGCAGGGTGGTTAGGAATCTCTGAAAGTGAGCCACGGATTGGCCCTCCTGCTCTAATGCCCATTGCTTCGGCATTGGTTTTTGGAGACTGTTGTGTGACCTAGCCAGGTACTGTTCTTCTCTAGAACAGCCTAAAAGGACAGAGATGGTGTCCTCAGCCTGTAGCTTACACTGGGAAGTTTCTGAGAAAGGGAGTTATGTTGTTACTGCAAAGCCAAAGGCCAGGCTGAGCCCATTATTACCTGCTGTGCAACCCAAGATGGTGTCTCTTATCCTCTAGGTAACATTCTTATTCCTTGAGAGTGTCACCCCACCAGTACTCCTTGGCTTGTCTTCCACACCCCCACACTCCCCAGAGAACCTTTCTGGTTGGCCTGTGTGCTCCAAGATCATTTTCTTCTGGCGTTTCTCTCATAGAAGTCATGGGGCAACCTTGTGAATTTATCCTGTTACTGTCCTTTCATATTCTTGGCAGCTCCATTAGACTGGCTTGAGGATAGCCAGATGGCCAAATGAAAATATGGGTCATCCCCAGCTGCTAAGGTGACACATTGGATCCCAGAAGGACGTATTCTCTGTCTGGAGAGCTTGACATGAGACTGCCTCTCAATGGATGAAAGTCACAATTTATATTTGGGTTGTTCCATTAGTGAGATTTTGGAAATTGCAAGAATGGAATTGATTCTGCAGCAAGGAGTGATGGGTTAAACTGGGCAGGATAGGGAGCTCTAAGGTTAGTCCTATTACTTTGAGACTGTCTATAGGGCCTGGGTGGATCCTGTGCACGGCAGGCCCCGGCTGTCTGTGGCTTCTCTGCCCAGAGTTGTCATGGGGATTAGATGAAATACACAGATGAAATATACTGATAGAGAGGGCCACAAGAATAAGAGCATAATCAGGGTTGTAGCCATCTCAAATAACCGAATCCTGACCCAGCAGGCCCCTTCAGAATATTTAGTGTAAAGTCACTCCCGGCAGAACCATTTCTCATCATGATGGGAGAGGTAATTTAAGATGTGGTTCAGACAAATCTCTCATTTGAATAGTTGTTAGTATGATATACTAAAAAAAAAACATACAAGCAGGCATCAAATCAGACTAGTTTTTTTTAATGGATATTTTTCTCAGATTAATGCTTCAAAACGAATTTAGAGCCAGGTGTGGTAATACAAGCCAGTAATGCCAGCACCTGAGGTAGAAGCAGGAAGATCAGATTAAAGTCACCCTAAGATACATAGCAAGTTTGAGGCCAGCTTTGGGTCACAAGAGACTGAAAAACAGTTAGATGGCTCAGTAGGTAATGGCACTTGTTGCCGAGCCTGTTGACCTGAGTTCCCCTGGGAACCACATGATAAAAGGATAGAACTCCCTCCTGCGATTGTCTTTTGCCTCTTGTGTGCACATGCACACACCCACGAGCAGACTTAAGTAAACAAATAAAATCAAAGCAAAAAGAAAAGAAAATACTTTTAGAAAGTATATCTTAAGGTAAAGATTAATAACAGTTGATCAGTGGACAGACATGGCCCCAGTGGGAAGCTGACCCCTGTGTAGAGGTAGGAAGCTTTCCACAGAGGAGTCCTTCCGTCTGTGACAGCTTTGCCTTCAGGTGGACCCTTGAAGAGGTGGCACTCACTGCCCCTGAGGTTAGTCTGTTCCACCGGGGAATCTGTTCATTGTCTCAGAGTTCTTTCCTTTCACCCCTTACCCTGTCCCCTACAAGCCACTCAGTTGTGTGTTTTATGGAGTGGGCAGTTTTACTTTCTTCAACTTCTCCTCAGTGGCTTGGTTTAAAGATATCCTACCTGGATGACCATCTATACATCCACCCATCTGTTCATCTGTCTGTCCATCCATCTGTCCGTCCATCGGTCCACCTGCTCACCCATTTACCTGCCCATCTCCCCTCAGCAAAGACCCGTGGACTTGCCCTGTTCTGCACACTTCGTGTCTGCCATCTCTGAACCTCAGAATGACCACTGGGTGCTGTTAGCCTTTTGCTCTTTGGAAACCAGGATTCAGGAAGGCTAAGCGGGTCCCCGCCATCACGAGCTTAGAGATGCTGTGCCAGGGAGGAGTCTGAGCAGTTCTATTTCAAGCATGTGCTACTTCTGCTGTCTCTGCTGTTCCCAGAACTGGAAGACCAGACAACCCAGTCCGTTCTCTGCTGGTGCTAGGAGGTCTGAT